GAGGGAATTTTGTAGGCTATACAAGAGATCGGACACAATTATGAGGTACACAATTATGCCGGCATTTATGACTTCATGTTTCGAAATGAACGATATGAGGAAATGATTAAGCTTCAATTCAGAATTGAATCGAAGAGTCAAATTTCAGTCCACCAGTGAGCCTAGATGGATCTAGAGACACTTTTTTCCAAATTATCATATCTTTGCAACGGATATTGACCAAAATTAAATTCAACACTCAAAAGAATTGATGTCGACGTCCTTGAAAACAAAACCCTACACGAAGTGCGAGATGATAATCCTTGAGGATGAAGTTATCAACATTGTCTGCACTGAAATGATTTAGAAACTTTCAAAGAAAGGCATCAACGATTTGGCTTTTGTTAAAAACAGCTGAAAACAAGCACAAAGACAGCGTCTTGCAAATCATCCGAAAACCCAATGACCAACATAAACTCGGCTGACTTGAAGCGACTTGGCTGCGACAATCAGTACATCGATACAACTGAATGTAATAGAATTACATTGACGCTCGTTTAAATTTTAGCTAAATGCACCGCCTTTAAAATTGGACCTAGTTTTAGATAGGTTAGACACATTGTTGTGCTCTTTTTCAACAAGCTAATTTTTCAGTTTTCAGTTGGAAAAATCTATGCAATAATTTCTCAAAAAAAAAAACTTTTTTTTCGTAAATTAAAATATTCAAAAGAAATTGCGGGTTCAATAAAGTGTACATTTTTAAGTCAATATATGATGGAATTTTTGATAGGGATGGTTGCCCGACGTAAAAAACGAGTTTTGCACGACCTAAACGAAAATTTCTGTACGACCTAAACGTTCGAGTTCTGTACAACCTAAAAACTACACGTGTTTTCCTTTACTGGAAGTCCATGAATTAAAACTGATTACATTTGAGTTTCAAGTTTTACAAAAGTGAAATATAACAAATTATAACATGCGTGTGTAATACAAAAAAGACAATTCGCAACTCAAGGCAAAGTCTTGAATGGTTCGACCGTCCCTCAATGAGCATTCAACAGTTGTTAAAAAATAATTTTAAAAACCTGTTCGACAATAACAAATACCAAGTATGAAACATAGGGTGTAAATAATACGACTAATTGGACTGCTTCAATTCAATATGGAGCAATTTTGTAGTGTGGGTTACATATACCGAATTAGGTTTTTAACAACAAAAATAAAGAATTCAGAGAGCTCATAGATTAGTCTAGATTCATGCAATAATGGCAATTTCACAGGTTGACGTCTAATCAAGAAACATGACAATCATGCTATGGCATGGAAAAAAATTTCTAGAAATATTTGGCACAAGCTTGTTTTTCATCCCCAGAGTGTCGAAAAAAGCTCATTCAATTTCATTGAAGGGTTAAAGGCTTATTCTGCTATCTTCAAAGAAAAGTTTCCAAGCAAAAATTTGTATGATACGCTTTTAAGGTCAACCCGAGTTTCAAAACATCGGGACTTCACACAAAAGAAAACATCTTTATAAGTTTGAATTCCGAGAGTAGATACCTTTGATGAGGTATAAAGACAATTTGAAAAAATGAGTGAATAAAAATACCCCCTAGTATAAATTTTCCGCATTTGGACAAGAAGGAGCGTTTTTTATATTGGGCACCCAGACTTTTTATTTAAAAAAATAACAATTACCAGCAGCGAGGGAAGCTAAATGATGGACATCTTTGTCTGTTATTTAACGTAGCGGACAAATTTGAGGCACACAAACATTCCAAATCTTTTGGCTTCGTGTTTCGAGATAAACTTCACGAGGAAATGAGTAAGCTTGAAATCGGAATTGGATCAAAGAGTAGCACGACCCACTTTAATTTCAGTAATCAAAAGAATTTATGTCGACGTCCTTGAGAACAAAACCCTACACGCAACGATCGAAAGGATCATCCTTGGTATGAAGTTATCAACACTGTCTGCACAGAAATGATTCAGAAACTTTCAAAGAAAGGCATCAACGATTTGGCTTTTGTTAAAACAGCTGAAAACAAGCACACGGACAGCCTCTTGCAAATCATCCGAAAACCCAATGACCCAAGAACCCATTCGACAATATCAAATATCAAGTGCGAAACATAGGGTGATAAAATAACACAATTAATTATATTGCTTCAATTCAAAAAGGAGCAAATTTGTAGTGCGGGTTACATATATCGAATTAAGTTTTCAGCAACATAAATAAAGAATTCAGAGAGCTCATAGACTACTCTAGACTATTGCAAAATGGCAATTTCAAAGGTTGATGTCTAAGCAAGAAACATGCCAATCATGCTATGACAAAAAAAGTTTCTATAGAAAAATATAGCACAAGCTTGTTATTCAATATAAAAAAAATGCTGATTAAATTTCATTGAAGGGCTGAAGGCTTATTCTGTTATTTTCATTGAAAAATTTCTAAGCATAAAATTGTATGATATGCTTTTTAGGTCAACCCGAGTTTCAAAACATCGGGACTTGGCACAAAAAACAGCAAAAAAATTCTTTTTACGTTACGTTTGAATTCCGAGAGTAGATACTTTAGATGAGTTATAAGAATAATTTGAAAAAATGAGTGGAGAAAAATACCCTCCAGTATTAAATTCCCGCATTTGGACAAAGAGGAGCATTTTGTATTGGAGACCAAGGTGGTCTTGCAGATCATCCGAAAATCCAATGACCAACTTAACAATGGCTGACTTGAAGTGACTTGACTGCGGTGATTAGTAGATCGATAAAACTCATTGTAGTATAAGTACACTGACGCTCATCCAAATTTTGTCTTAATGCGCAGCCTTTAAATTGAACCTAATATTAGATGGTTTAGACAAATTGTGGTGTTCATTTTCAAAGAGCTAATTTGCTTGTTTTTACAAATATATGGTTGGACAAATAAATGTAAAATTTTTTATCTTTAAATTTTTTTGTAAATTAAATTATTCAATAGAAACATCGGGGTCATTGAAGTGTATTTTTTAGTCAATATATGGTTACATTTTTGTTGGGGATGGTTGTGCCCGACTGAAAGACCGGTTTTGCACGACCTAAACGTTCGAGTTGCGTACAACATAAAAACTACACGTGTTTTCTTTCACTGGGAGTCCATGGATGATACCTGATTACAATTGAGTTTCGATGTTAAAAAAAATGAAATATAACAGATTATAACATGCATGTGTAAAACAAACAAGACAATTCGCAAATCAAGACTAACTCCTGAATGGTTCCACCGTCCCTTAATGAGCATTGAAGTTTGTAAAGAAAAATTGAAGAAAACCTGTTCGACAATATCAAATATCAAGTGCGAAACATAGGGTGATAAAATAACACGACTAATTAGGTTGCTTCAATTCAAAAAGGAGCAATTTTGTAGTGCGGGTTACATATATCGAATGAAGTTTTCATCAACATAAATAAAGAACTCAGAGAGCTCATAGACTAGTCTAGACTATTGCAAAATGGCAATTTCAAAGGTTGACGTCTAAGCAAGAAACATGCCAATCATGCTATGGCAAAAAAAAGTTTTTGTAGAAAAATATAGCACAAGCTTGTTATTCAATTCCAAAAAAATGCAGATTAAATTTCATTGAAGGGTTGAAGGCTTATTCTGCTATTTTCATTGAAAAATTTCCAAGCATTAAATTGTATGATATGCTTTTTAGGTCAACCCGAGTTTCAAAACATCGGGACTTTGCACAAAAAACAGCGAAAAATTCTTTTTACGTTACGTTTGAATTCCGAGAGTAGATACTTTTGATGAGTTATAAAAATAATTTGAAAAAATGAGTGAAGAAAAATACCCTCCAGTATAAATTTACCGCATTTGGACAAAGAGGAGCATTTTGTATTGGACATCAAGGTGGTCTTGCAAATCATCCGAAAAACCAATGACCAACTTAACAATGGCTGACTTGAAGTGACTTGACTGCGGTGATTAGTAGATCGATAAAACTCAATGTAGTATAAGTACACTGACGCTCATCCAAATTTTGTCTTAATGCGCAGCCTTTAAATTGAACCTAACATTAGATGGTTTAGACAAATTGTGGTGTTCATTTTCAAAGAGCTAATTTGCTTGTTTTTACAAATATATGGTTGGACAAATAAATGTAAAATTTTTTATCTTTAAATTTTTTTGTAAATTAAATAATTCCATAGAAACTTCGGGGTCCTTGAAGTGTATTTTTTAGTCAATATATGGTTACATTTTTGTTGGGAGTGGTTGTGCCCGACTGAAAGACCGGTTTTGCACGACCTTAAACTTAATATGTGCACGACCTAAACGTTCGAGTTGCGTACAACATAAAAACTACACGTGTTTTCTTTCACTGGGAGTCCATGGATGAAACATGATTGCAATTGAGTTTCGATGTTAAAAAAAAATGAAATATAACAGATTATAACATGCGTGTGTAATACAAACAAGACAATTCGCAAATCAAGACAAAGTCCTGAATGGTTCCGACCGTCCCTTAATGAGCATTGAAGTTATTGTTAAAAAAAAATTGTAGAAAACCTGTTCGACAATAGCAAATATCAAGTGGGAAACATAGGGTGATAAAATTAGATTGCTTCAATTCAATATGGAGCAATTTTGTGGTACGGGTTACATATATCGAATTAAGTTTTCAGCAACATAAATAAAGAATTCAGAGAGCTCATAGATTAGTCTAGAATATTGCAAAATGGCAATTTGACAGGTTGACTTCTAAGCAAGAAACATGCCAATCATGAAATGGCATTAAAATTTTTTGTAGAAAAATATAGCACAAGCTTGTTATTTAACTTCTGAGTTTTGAAAAAATGCTCAATAAATTTCACTCAAGGGTTAAAGGCTTTTTCTGCTATTTTCGTATGTTTTTATTCACAGCCGAGCCTGCAGCTATTTTTTTTACTCCGTGAACTTCACTCCGTGAACAAGTAGTTTGGACTCCATTAGCCACATTAGTAATAATGAGGGCAGTAACCTCTAAACGTTAACCCAAACACACTTCTTCTGCTAGAATTCTTCCACAAAGAGGCGCCGGCGCATGTTGTTGTTTAACTTCAGTCACTATATTTTTGTAGCCCGTTTTCTTTTCACTCTTCCAAAATGGAGGCAGTTCTTTGTTGTTTCCTCTGTGTCACACATCCACGAAAAAGCCTGTACTTGGAGATACAATTCCGTCGAAATTCCATCACTGACCTTAACCTATCATAAACAAAACCAACATATACTTCCGATAGCCATAAAAAAATCAATGAAGGAAAAAAACAAGAGAAACAACCATTTTTTAAAACTCTTTGATTTACACAGAATCAAGCACACGCCGTATTTTTTTTCTAATCTGAGAAGATTTTTGAAGAAAAGGAATCCATTTAAGAACTGATCAAAAAAAATTGTCCATTGCACTGGAAAGCCAACAGCATTGATACCAGTCAATTATTCGAGCACGCGCCTATAACAAGGGCTTTCGCAATATAAAGTTGCATCATCGATAATAATAATTATTCTAAACTAAGGTAACACGAGACACGCCTGGATACATGTTCTATTCCCTGACTAGCTTGTTCCTATTCTTTTCTTTCTTAATGTTTTAAGTATTGTATGCTGTTTTTTAAGTGCAAGTTGTGACCACATTTTCAGAAGAATGATTATTCATGATGATGCAACTTAATGCTGCGAAAGCGCATGATATAGGTAAGCATTGATTTAATTACATGATTACTTGCAATGGAAACCCTGCCATATAAAATCTTTGGACCTACCTGACAATGTTCACCCCTTTGCATGTACTAAGTCTGAGATAACTTAGTGTCTATCAATTATGCATTTCAAAAATTTTCAGATTTAAAAAGACTGCTCGTATCAGGAGGAAGCCCTGAATGTTCCGACTGCCTTTAAAGGTTTATGGAGCAGCAGTAATAACATTAAAAAAATTAAATGAAATAAAATAAAATGAAATTTTTTTTTTTTAAATTTGAATTTTTTTAATGAAAATCATTCCCCCTCACGCCATATAAAGTACAAAAAGAGAGATTTCGTTCCTTGTAACAAATCAATTATGGCAATTAAGCTTCGTTCAACCAATTTGGAACGATTTATAAGACGGATTAAATCAAATCTCCGCTTACGCGTTAATAGCGCGAATTATATCGCGCGTTAATTGTCCCAAATTGGTCAAAATGGCAATCTTTAAACCCTCATAACTGTACGAAAAATGATCACAGGCGAAATATCTTTTCGAATTTAAGCTCAGGACAACAATACCTTTTGAATGATATAAAAAAATTCCGTAAAAATTACTAGTTAAAAAGTCGAAGTTTGTCCGAAGAAAAAAAAACCACCCCCAGCACAAATATTCCGTTACTTTCGTATCGAAAGTCGGAACAATAATGTTGCCATCTTTTCTCGCTTTAATAGTGTTTTTGGATCCCTCAGCTGAAGTTAAGGTTGAAATATTTTCCACATCATAAAAATGTTCTTTATCTTCACAAAAAATGGCTGTTTAAGTTTGAAACAGTTTTCATTGTTAATTAGATCAAAGATTATTCCACTTTTGTTACTACTAGAGACCAAAAAATGCTCTTTTTCAATCGCATCACCCACGAACATTTACAAACTTAACATAGCAAGCTGGCTGACAGAACGAAACCACATAACAAACAGACAGTTGGAAACGAGCCAATGAACACAAAAAAAAACAGAAAAAAAACTTCAACTGTCGAATTTCATGGGCAAAAATTTGGCCTCAAAGCTGAAAATAAGAATTTCAAGAAAAATTTAGGATTCGCATTTTTTTGATAAAACTACTTCAATTTGAAAAAGGTGGATCAATAAGTAAAAACTATATTTCGCAGAGAAATCTGAAACATTTAATTCCTTTTTCGAAACTAGAAATTGATCACGTTTTTGGTGATCTGAACAATTATGATGTTTGATTGTGGAGTTTTCCTTCCTCCTTTTAGAAAAGGATCTAAACTGAACTTTTAAACTGAAGAAATTAAAAGTCAGACAGCGAAAAAGTAAATGTGATTTTTTTTGCAAGAAAAAAAAACAGAAACGTAATCACGACTTATAAAAAATCTGAACTACCTTCAACGACTCTTAAAAAATTCAAAGAAAACATGGTTTACCTCAATTAACATACGTTTATCTCGTAGGAAGCACATATTGAGTGAAAACAAATCAAAGATTTTATGAATCAGTAAAAAAAAAAGCCGATAAAGCTTGAGTGAGCAATCGTTTATTATTAGGTGAGGGCACGGGAAAAAAACTGTTATCGTATTTCAAACGACCCAGAACGAGACAACTAAGCCAAGAAAAAATCGGCAAAATTGAAACGAGTTAGTTTAAAACCGAAAAAAAAATCGAATAGCAGGGAAACTTAAAATACAGACATGCACAATGTCTGAGGTCAACGACATAGAACGTCCAACAGAATTCTTACACATTCTAACAAAATTGCTAACGGCAAAAGACCCAATTTAAGGACATTCAAAAATGAAAAGATTGGAAATACCTAAATTGAAACATAGTACATAAAGTACCTAAATTGAAACATAAACTGGATCAATAACCGCCAACGACTGCTCAAGCAACGTGCCAAAAAACCAATGATGATCAAAAATCGAACCCCAAAATATAGCGTTGAAGCCTATAAAAAAACTGAATAAAAAAACCACCCCAAGCATATGAAATCCGTGTTCTTCGAAAGTCTGAACAACAAAAATACAGATCCAACAAGCAATTGCAAAAGAATTCACCAACTCGGAAAAAAACAAGGCAAAATGTTTCTTAACTTTCCAAATTAACGGTTAACAGAAAAAATGCAACACAATGAAGCTCTTTATTAAGTTCAAGAACATTTAAAATCGACATTTGTGGTAAAAATTATCTCACTCATAAGAAACTGAACGAATGGATTTCATATTCCACGGGGAACCTAAAAACTTGACTAATTGTTTGACAAGAAGTCAAGCTCCATTATTGCCTTGTAATTGGAGAGCTAAATTTTTGCCTTCAAGTAATTAAATTAAAAAGAAACCAAAAACATTCCCTAAATTAAATCAAAGGGCTAACTGCACATCGCAAATAAACTCAAAAATGCCAAAAAGAAACTTCAAAATAAAACAGAATCAAACAGAATTGCCCTTTACGAGAATCGAACTCCGATCTCCAAATTCCATTGGCAGCTAATTTCTAATTAGATGGGCGCAAGTTGGATTGGGAAAAATTCAACTCGTGTAATAACACAAACCTTTGCATGTAAATTGAAAAAAGCAGCGTGTATAAAATGAGCCATAAAATGCATAAAATGAGCATAAACAGCTGTGTTCCTCTCACCAGATAAAAAAAATCACTTTTACTGCGCAACCATTGACTTTACCGAATTCTGTAGGTAACTCTAAATTGTTGGCAATATCCTTTTCACTCAACGAATCTGAACGTCGCTTTCCAGTTTATTACTAATTTCCACGCGGAAAAACCATTTCAGATTATTTGCTAAAAGTTAGAGGTTTTGACCGATTGAAGGGTTCAAGGTCACCTATATTGCGAACAATTTGGCATTGGCTATAAATGAAAACAATGTGTAACCGAGCCGAAAAACAAACCCCATAAAATTAATTCTGGTTATATTATAAAAAAACCATAAAACAATATTTAATTAATTCCCATAAAATTATTTAAATATTGTCTTCGAGGCTTTCGTTTTGCGTCAAATTTCACGTTGATAAAAACACGTTCGAGACGTTTTATCGTGATTTCACGTATCAACGTGATTTCACGTTGATAAAAACACGTTTGAGACGTTTTATCTGAACAAATAAATTCAGCACTGAGTCACACAATTCAATAGCTACTAAGGAGTGCGATTAGAAGTTGCTAAGTAAATAAGACAAGACAAATTAGAATTAAAACATGTAAATTTAACTGCTCTAATTTAAGGAAACCGTATTTCTCAGAAATAAAATTGCTGAAATTGCAAATAGCGTCGTCTTAACATCCCATCAAAATCGGTTGTCGCCTTAACAGCTGTCGTCTTATTTGCCAGACACCCAATTAGAAATTACCTTGTTGAAGCCCTTGCCCAACTTCTTTGCAACTCCTTCGAATGCCTTTTCCAGTTCTCTTTTGAGTTTCCTCTGGTTCACTACTTGCTCCTCTGACGAGGCATTCATGGGCACATAACCACTTCCGCCTCCTTGACCATTTCTTCCACGATTAACTGCAAAAAACAAATCTTGTATTTTCAAAAATATTTTTGACTGTTAAAACTTACAAAACATTGCAAGCGGTGCATAAAATGTTCCCAAATAGGGTCACATGGGGTTTCGGTACACCTCGAACGATCAAAATGGCTGCGTATCATTTCATTCAGCCCGTCAAAAATCTCGCCTGCACGCCAATGCAATGTTTACACTAATGTTCTGATTACCTCAATTCTATCATACCAAATGTTTCAATATTGAATCCAGAAAAATCCCTATGATTAATTCTAGGGTGGGGGATGAAAAATAGCCCGAATACTTATATAATTAAATAAATGCCAACTGCTAGGAACAAGTGTGATAGAGGGGTCCCAAATTATATTAATTTTAGACAAATACCGTAGATAACTAACTCAAAATGCACCGGTCGGTCGCTTCAAAACAGGGTTGCGAGACAACACGTTTCGATGAAAAAAAAAAGGTTTAAAACAAAACACAATTAAAGTATATGCAGTCTGTGCGCCGTACTTTTCCCAGTTGATTGCTCTTTTGATTTCACTTTCAGTTCGATCGACTTCGAAAAATCGGAGACAAAAAAAAACGCAGCAAAGCAAGAATCCATAATAGAAGAACTTTACCGTGTCTCGGCACTTTCGAGCCATTAGCATCGTTCGATACCTCGTTAACGAAATCCTTCGAGCAGATTATTCCACGAACACAGTTCAGTTTGTCAAAGCAAGAAAATCTGTCAATCAGGGGAAATTGTTTTAAACACTGCAATAGTGCTTCAAAACTTTCTTTCAAACGTAATTATGACTAGGTAAGGCGCCATAATCTCCGCCAACTCTCTTCTAAGATGTTCGAATTAAAACACCGGGCACATCGCTTTAATCGCATTCAGTTCGCAGTTATTACCAGGGTCTCTTTCAAAACTAGCCTCAATTTTTGGCGTCACGTGAATTGTTCTGTAATAACTGATAGCACCACAGAGGTACGCATTTTTCCCAACTTGTTTCTGGAGTCACGGTGGCGAATCAACCTGCTTAGACCTGCTTCAACCATTGACGTACAGCTGCCCATGACCATCCAGCACAATCTCGTCCTCGGAATCACAGTTATAATTTGAATAATAACTTGAATCCGAATGGTTTTTTTGTTCACGATGTTTGCTGTTTTTTCTGTCAGTTGTTCTGATGATATCTTAATTGAAGAAAATGTTCAAGCATTGATATCCTTTTCTTAAATCCGAGTCATAATTGAACAGGTTAAACATCATCACACATCTTCAGAATGTATTACAGATAAACGCAAGTTTTAAACACAGAGGCGAAGTCGCACTTCGTATACACAAGCAAAAATCTGAACGATAACGCTACTGGGAAAAACTGAACGAGTAAACATTTAAGTTTACATACATTCTTAAGCGATGCACTCCAATTATGAGTCTACAAAAGTCTACAAAAGTCTACAACAGTCGCCTACTTCGGTCACATATGAGGCTTAAGAAAAATAGGCCCTATAACCATTGGCTCAAGAGTCAGGGACACTATCTCTTGTGTTTTTCTACCTCAAGAACGGTCGGAGCCAATTCGGTTCGCTTGCGACATGAGACTAGAACCCGTTACAGCTTAAAGGCTACTACCAAAATATCCCCCCACTCTAGTAAATAAGAACGTCCCCATACTTAGGTCTCGAAATACCCAAAATACACGAACGCCGTTAAAAACAGGGTCGGAACAATCCGTTAAGTTACTTTTTATTGGACAGTGGAACTTTGATCCATTTCAGATGGATCAACCTAAAACTCGCCTTATCCCAACTTAACAATCATAAAACACACTCGAGAAAATTAAATTAGGGACTCACATGCAGGCATTTCGGGACCCGACATTTTTCAAACCCGAAACCCGATTACCCGATAAGCTAAAACCAGGCATTTCGGGACCCGACATTTTTCAAACCCGAAACCCGATTACCCGATAAGCTAAAACCCGAACCCGACGGTTTCTTCAAACCCGAACCCGAACCCGAACCCGACATTCATTTCAAACCCGAAACCCGGCCCGAAACCTGAAAAAGATCTCAAAACCCGATTACCCGACCCGATACCCGACATGCCCGATTTTCAGGTAGATTAAATGGTATGAACAATGACGCAATAAATTTGATGCGTTTTTAGAGTGTAACTTTCTCTTACAGTGAACAATAAAAATATCTGTAAAAACAATATTTAAAGAAAAATTGGGAAAGTTTTTGTCGAAACCGAAAACAGCAAACAAAAGTCGGGTTTTAGAAATCCGACATAATTGAATACCCGAACCCGAACCCGAAAATTTGTTGAACCCGAAACCCGACCCGAAACCCGAAATTTGTCTCAAAACCCGAAAACCCGACCCGATACCCGAAAACCCGAACCCGAAATGCCTGGCTAAAACCCGAACCCGACGGTTTCTTCAAACCCGAACCCGAACCCGACATTCATTTCAAACCCGAAACCCGGCCCGAAACCCGAAAAAGATCTCAAAACCCGATTACCCGACCCGATACCCGACAAGCCCGATTTTCAGGTAGATTAAATGGTATGAACGTTGACGCAATAAATTTAATGCGTTTTTAGAGTGTAACTTTCTCTTACAGTGAACAATAAAAATAGCTGTAAAAATAATATTTATGCAATAAATGTGTATTAAAATGGGAATGTATATAGAAAACAAAAAAGTTCAACGGAAATATAAAGCTGTATTATTATGAAATGGGAACGTTATGAAATCGGTGAGTTTCAAGAACACGTTGCGTGTAAAATTCTCCGTCTTAAGTCGCGATTGAATATCCTTCTTCAAGTACTTTGCATAACTGAACGCTCTCTCAATGTCAGAATTTGTTGCGGGAATTTGTCTCAATGTTCTTCGTATTTGTTCCTCTTTTGGTCCAACTGCCCTTTCAAGTTGTAAGAAGTCTTTGAAAGAAGTTGGCGTTGCATAAGTATGCTCGGTCTGTAGCAAGTTTTCAATATTGTCATCAATTTCTTTCGCCAACCGCTTGTATAATTTACCGCGTTTGTTAAACGCCTGGACAACTGCGTTTTTGGAACCACACCATTTGTCAAGTAGTTGTAACATGTCATCACGGACCATCTCCAAACCACTTTCACGTTCGACAAATGTTCGCACATATTCGACGGTCTTGAGATAGAAGTCAAAGTCCTTCGGTATTTCTTTCTTTTGCAGCTCTAGTGTTACTTCGTAAAATGTTTTCAACACCTTAACTAAACAGTCTAAATGTTGCCAATCAAAACGTCGTTCGTGGTAAAACTTTTCCACTGACCCGCGAAGTTTGAGAAAACGTTCTAGCATCAAGGAAGTGGAGTTCCATCGTGTTTCGTTGTCAAGGACAACATCTAGTTCTGATTTCTGGAACTGTTTTTGCATAAACATGAAGGTTGCCTTATTGTTGGGTGTGCGGATGTCTTTTACAGCTTGTCGTATTTCATTCACAAAATTGGAAAAATCAACCGGTTCGATGCTACGGGTATTCAATGTGTCGAAGTCTTCATCGGCCTCGTCGGTGTCGTTCTCGTTGTTGCTATCTTCATTCTGAATCACTATCTCTTCATCCGTTTGAATAGCAACTTCATTGTCGGTTTCAATAGCATCATCATGAATCAAACTGGCATTTTTCAGATTGCAATCAGATTGATTACATGTGCCAGGCAAGGCACATGAGCCAGCTTCATTATACGGCAAAACTTGACCATGTCCGAACCACAGTCGAACATCACACATGCGAGTCTTTCTTTTGCGATGCCAAACTTGGCGAGGAGTTCTTTTGTATATTTTTTCATCTCCTTTGCGCCACATGAAAAATCGTAATTAATTAATCCAAGAAAAATGCTCTTGCCTTTTTGATACACATAGACACCAATAAATTTTTCGTGATGATTGTTCGTCCATTTGTCTAGAGCCAAGACTAACTTCTCTTTCCCCCTCTAGTAATTTCTTAATGAGATCTATGCGCTCGAAGTATTTGGCATTAAGTGTCCGATTGAGATCATCATAAGTTGGTACAGCTAGGCCAGACTTTTGAAACAGTTTCTTGAAGCGAGGGGAACTGCTAACTTTTGTTACTGACACATTGTCAAGATATACGAATTGGGAATGGAAAGTAAACTTTTCAGTATTCGAGTTCAGAAATTTTCTTATGGAAATTTGATTTACATCTTCCGACTCGGTGGAAGTGCAGCTGCTAATGTGCCTTTCAATAGCTGACGTATTGATCTTTTTACATGAAAATACACTTTTGCAACGAACGCACTTCCGCGCTTCTGTTTTCTTCTTGTCAATGAAACCGCACAGAAACTTGTCTTTCAACTTTGGATTTTTGGTTTCAAATATCCGCCACTCTTCCTTCATCGTACAATGCAATCGCGTTCAGAAATGAAATAGAAATAAAAATTAAAAAAGTAAAAAACCTCAAACGAAAGAAACATTGGGAAAGTTTTTGTCGAAACCGAAAACAGCAAACAAAAGTCGGGTTTTAGAAATCCGACATAATTGAATAACCGAACCCGAACCCGAACCCGAAAATTTGTTGAACCCGAAACCCGACCCGAAACCCGAAATTTGTCTCAAAACCCGAAAACCCGACCCGATACCCGAAAACCCGAACCCGAACCCGAAATGCCTGCTCACATGTTGATGCACTCAAGCACAGGGAGTAATTAAATTGATAAGCAACTCGAGAATTAAATAAGATAACTAGATAAGTTCAATACTAATCAGTTTTGATAACAGAAATAAGTTTTGACTCTAGAATTGGAGTTTTTGTCTGAACCATTGGGACACTCAAGCTGTCCACCTTTCCGTTGAAGGTTGACTCTGGTTCGGTTCGAATGGTTATTCTCTCTTCTCGTGATTATCTCTCTTCCTATTTCAGGACAAGACGGCTCTACTCGTGTATTATTTTGTATCTGGAAATTACGAATAGCAATTTCCTGCTGTTTTCTTAAGTGTTTTCCCGCAATTGCAAATTCGGTCGTTCTGATTTTTCACTTTGTGTTTTCAGTTGGTGCGAGAAAACTGAGCATGACAGGCTCCATTCGAAATTTTGAAAATTAAAACTTCACTCCAAAATTACGTATTTTCGTGTCCCTCAAGGTCAAACTTCCAGATATGACCGACTGGCACATACTCCCCGGACTCAAGATCGATGTCCTCATCGCGTGCTGTCTCTGTCAGTAAATCCCCAGAAGCCCGAGTGTCACTCAAGATACAGCGCCAGTGGTCATTTACAGAAGTTTGCAGCAGACTTAAGTTTATCTACCTTCCAAAATTCACAACCATATAAAATTTTCACACTATCGCTAAACAGCAATCAAAATCTGCACACACCTGCACCCATGAATTCTCGCTTTTTAAGCTGGTAATTTAAAATTTCTTTTGTCCTATTCAATCAGGAAATTGTCATGCAGCATTTTGATTTATATAATAGATCTAGCATATTAATAACAATATCTCATTTGTTAAAATTTCTTTTTCGTGAACCCAGATATCATCCGAGTTCACCCTCGAGCCCCCTCCCTCTCAAGACTCAAGACTCTAGATTTTTCCTTTTGAGCCACCGGCTCACCTCGTGTTCTTCGCCCTCGAGGTACCCGACCCAGATATATTTGACACTGTGATCTGTTTCAATAGTGCCTCTTTGTCATCGGAGCTGATCACAATCTCCTCCCAAGCCTTCAGCTGTTCATAGGATCGCATCCACTCCCTTTGCTCTTGCAATCTCTTCGCTTGATTCGGTATGCTCTTCACCTTCGACTTCCGGTTCAAACAGAAGGAATTGTGAAGACTCACGCTTACATTCTTCGCCAGGTCCTCCTCCAGTATCGACTCCCTCGCTCTAGTGTTGTCTCTGGATACTCTACCCACTCATTTCCACCCCGTCGTGATCGCATTTCGATGGGTCAGCAGAGGTCTATTGAAGGCATCTGGTCCTATCTCGGCCTGGAATTGTCGATATTCCTTTTGATGTTTCCTCATGTGATCCTTCGTCACCACATATAACCAGGAAATTAACGTCGCGCGAAACCAAGGAAAGAATCTCAAGCGGCTCCACATGTGTCTGACTTCCATTGGTATGGCGAATACCTTGCATGCGGTCTCGAACAACTCAAGTCTCCTGCTGTAATCTATCGCGTGAATCGACTCTGCTGTTGGCGTCTTCGATTCCCG